GGAGGAGGAGACTTCTCCAGGGGTTAGTTCAGCAGCCAGAACACCTCCCTGCTTCTAAGAGTTGTTGGGTTTTGTTGCCTGCTACCATGTGGAGATCCATGGGTAAATGTTTGAAGTGGAAGTGCATCTTGGAGAACGTGGCGTCTCCTTTGGGATGTCCCTGTTGAGATGCTGTAAGCTGTGGCATGTCGGGGGCAGGACAGGCATGTATCTCCATAAACCATATGTGTAGCAGGACTTTCTCTTCAACAAAGCAGCTTCCCATCACCATGCCAGAGCAGGCACGTGCTACAGCCTGGAGCAAAGGTTCCTGTGACTCCAGTCAGCAAGGATACATGTTCCTGCAGAACTGAAAGATGTCCAGGGCAAGAACATGGCTTCTGCTGCCTTTGGAGGGTGGGTGGAAGAGCGGGAAGGTAATTCCTGCCCTGTTTACCCTCAAGAATGAGATTTGTGTGCAGATACTTTCTTGTTTTTCATTTACAAAGCAAGTGTTCAGATACCACATGGTGTGAAAAACTCCTCCAAGACCACAGATCCTTTCAGGGTGGTGATGGGATTAACATGATGTAAGAAATGACAAGACAACCTCACATACTTATGCAGCAAGCACTTGAGAATGGTCCCACCTCCTCCTGCAGCTGGCTCCAGATGCTCACATACAGTTCTGCACCACGGGTGGGCTCTGCTGATGAATCTCCTATGAAAGCCTCATCAGGAGCCTCTTTGTCCTGTTCCCTCCCATGCTTAAGTATACTTCTGAAAGTAAAAAAAGCCATGAAAAAGCTATTTGCATAAATATCATAACTTTTATTGTTCCGGTCACAGTTTTTTGAAGAAACATTCCTAAATTACACAGTTATTCTCTCTTTAAGAATTTGTGCCTTTTTCCAATTGGAATTCACCTGGCTCCCACTGCCAGTCAGTGCTTGGTATTGTGTTGCTCGTTTTAAGATCAGAGAGCTGCAGTGTTCAGTAGTTTCTCCCCATGAAGGTACTTGTGCACTGTAATCAAGACATTCTCAATTCTGGTAGCTAAACTCAGCCATCTGAGTTCTCTCTCAGCCTCTCTAAGGCATTTTCACACTCCACCAGTCATTTCTGAATCTCTTTTTGTTGTTTTGCATCCATTCCAATTACTCAGCTTCTCTTTTAAAATGTAAATACCCAAATTGCATCCAAAATTCCCAACCCTCACAGCTGAGACATACACAAGTATAATCACTTACTGCTAACAGTAATTAAAGACAAGAACACATTCTTACTCATTAGTCTTTTACCCTGGGACTGCGTTGGAACATGTGTAGAAGCTCTTACTCTGGGCCTGGGTATTTTTGTCACGTTAACATTTTATCAGTAGGGATTCTGTATGTTTTCAGCAGTGGTCTGGAACCACTGAATCATGTTGGGTCCCAGCAGAACCCTTCTATGAGCATCCCTATTGCATTATGGCTCTCCTTGAGTGCCCACTTTTGAAATGTGATTGTCAGAGAACACCAAGCTTGGGGGGGGATACACTCAGTTAACTCTAATCCAAAAGAAAGCTGAAAAACAAAGAATCAAATGACTTACACTGTGCTCCTTCATTCACCCCATCTCCTTTTTCATCTCTTCCCTGGGTGCCAAGCTAGCCAAAAACTCTGCCTGGGCCATCCTGTCCCCTATGCATTCCTCCCCATCAGCAGGTCACAGACTGCCCTTAGGAGATACTGATACAAGGTTTCTACACCCACTGAACTTAAATGTGTTCATTTTTAATACTGAACATTGCTAATGAATGACATCACTTTTCCAGTTCTCTTAAAGCATCACTAGCACTAGCATCACCTGCCTCTAGCAATGGTCCTTATCCTACCACAAAGATTTACTCTGAACTCTGGCTCTTTATCTGCCTCTCAAGCACTCCAATCCACAGTTTTCTTTTCCTTTGGCTGTTGCTTCCCTCGTTAATTTTTAACGTAACTCATTTTGAGTTGATTGCTGTCTGCTTCCCTTTTCCTTACTTGTTTTATATGATTTTACATCTAAATTTTTCCTTCACCACTGAAACAGGGTGGGCAGTTGGCCAAAGCTCTCCTCCTTCTTGATGGCAAAATTACTGGATTTTTGGCCCTTTAATACCTTCCTCTTCAAAAACTGCCAAATCTAGTTCAGTTTTCCATCTAATTTCTTCACTACCAGATTTGATACAAAATTTGCTCATCTATGGGCTTTTGAAGTACCAGTTAGACTGTTAGCAGCCTGCCTGGCTGTATACTTCACTCAACCATCAGGATTCCAACTCCTACTTCTCGATTCATTTACCTGTATCTACATAAACAAGACAAATCCAAATAGCTTCATGTTTCATGTCTAACACTGCATTAGAAAAACAAGTCTGGGACACAGGCAATGAACATTAGTCCTGACTACAGGACAGCCACCTTCATTCCCACCATTTAAATCACCTTAGAATGTAGTTTGGATTCTAGATTTCCTAAATAATTCTTAAACTCAAACAAAACACACACACACACAAATTAAATCACTTCTGGATATGTTAACAGCATTGAGCCAGTGCTTCATTTGATAAGCAGTCCACACTGAATACGAGCCTGTTATTTACTACAAATATCCTGCATTGGAACAGCAGAAAGGAGATGGCTGACAAGACTTCATTGCTTCAAACTCTACACAGAGGGAAGAGGAAGAAGGGACAGATTGGTCAAAGAGGAAGCAGGAAGGTGAGTGGTTACCTGGGCTGGGAACCAGCCTGCGTGCAGCCACCCAGTGCTCCCACTAGCCAGGAGTCCAGGACAGGCAGGGCTGGAAGGGCAAGGGGCACAAAGAAACCGAGATGGAAAGTAAACAGGCAGCAGAGAAGAGAAGCTATTCAGTGACACTCATCTGAACATTGGTTTCTTTGCCAAGGAGCAGGGAAAGAAAAAGGATGACTTGGATTAAACCAAATGGTTGAGGGAGGGAATGGAGTGAGATTTGACAGCTCAGGCAGGATAGATCAGGAAAGGAATTAGGCAGGACAGTCTGCAGCCTTCACAGAAACACTGTTTTGGGCTCAGAACTGAAGCAAAAATTCTTGGCTCCAGTCACACTTGTGTGTGGCCTCCCAGTGAAATGTGAAAGCTAATACTGCTGCTTCAGCTCAGATGCTGGGGTCAAGAATGGATGTCCACAAGCAGGACATAAAGGATTCCATCCTGACACACACATGGGTTACACCTAATACCATGATGCCATTTTTTAAGTTCAACAGTTCAGCTTTTAAAAACTTAATTATATGTATCTTGAGAGAACTCAGGCACACAAAGCAGGGCAGTTTTAGACAACTTCTGGGCAGCCTTAGCTCACTTCTTGACCCGGCATTGAAGGCTTGATCAGATACTGCCTCGTACTCACAAAAAGTGGCCAAATTAACAGTGCACAAACTTGGTTTTGCCATTTCCTAACTTCTGAGTGCTTGACTTTGTGCAGGCTTCATAAAGGTCTTTTAAAAGTAGCTACATGTGGATAATTGCGTGTGGGAACTTTGCCAACTCAAACATGAGGGAATTCAAGAGGCTTTTCTAATCTTGTGAGTTTATCCACTGAAGAAAAAGATTTGATTAAAAAAAAATGAAGTACAGCTAAACTGGGAACAATATTACAGGTTGTGCCTCAGTTCTTCATAGGCACTTCAAGATGTTGGAAAGAGAAATCACAGAATTAGGAACTTATTAAAAAAGAATGAAATGTACCGATGCAGAAACATAAACAGAAATGCCAGATGTATAATGTCAACTTGTAATATGCGGCTACAATTAATTCTTCTTAATTCATTTGTTTTCTTAACTTCTTTTGTTTTGCCATCTGGAAAAGGCCATTTTCTTGTGACAGATCATAGGAGGAAAGATCCAAAGTTCAAGCTTGCTTCAAGGAAAAGCTGACTTGTTTTTGTGCTCACAGACTCAGTGGTCCTTGTTTCAGTTCTCACTCATGCAGAAGCTTCAGGACAAACTTAGGCCTGGACTGGGAGACAAAAAGATCTACGTGGAAGTTTAGTGAAGTTTTCAAAAGATTTACTCTTCAAGATACAAATGTGAAATCAGCTCTGTGAAAGCAAATATGCCACAGAACCAGTGGAGTAAACGACAGGTACACAGGCATGCGGAAGGGCGCAAGTGCACGCTCAGTAGAGAGTTACAGGGTAAAGAGATTTCTGGCTGGTACTTGTGTTATTTTAAAAAATAATCTACATTTATCCAGTAAAAAAAAAAATCAACCCATTAATAAAACAAACACATTTTATAGTTAAGCAAATATGAGTAGTGGAAACACACAATTACTTGTCTTCTGAAGCTTATCAAAACAGAAGTTAATAACAGCACAATGAGTAATGTCACTTTTGCACTGACCCATTAGACAAAGTGATTCAGTATACACGAGGCTGTCAGCATAACATAAAGAAATCTTAATTGGACATGGTCAAAGGATCAGCACTGCCCTGCTTGAACAATAAATCCCACTATTTATCTAACAGTAACAGATGATTTACACCAGCACTGCATCCCACTGTCATCCTTTTAGGACATGTATCCAAAGAACTGCTAGGTTTCACTCTGCAACCAACCAGCTTTGCTCAGTACTTGCTTTTCTTTGTAAAATGCCTAAACATTGGTTTACACGAGTATTTTCTAATTACTAAATTGATTTGTAGGTATATAACTAATTACAAAGAATAGCAGCTTTCACATACAGCACTGCACTAATCTCACTCCTCTAGAGATTACTTTCTTCTTTTTCATATTACTGTTTCTGGCTCCAAAAAAAAAATCTCAAGTATGTAACTGAAATTCACTCACCACCTGTCCCTTCTCAGCTTGCTCACTTGAGGATTTGGGTAATGGATCTAACCCATTTTCAAACAATGAAAAAGCAGCTCTCCCACCCCAGGCTGCTCCAGCGCTGCTGTGAAGCACTATTGCAGCTGTAACACAGCCACAACAAACATGAAGTTCAGCACGCTTGTTTCACATGTTCTTTAATTTCAAACAGAGGGATTTTTGGTTGTGGTTGTTTCTCAGTTACTTTATATAGAAAACAGAACTCAGGATATGGCATTTCAGGACATCATGTAGAGCAAGAGAAGTATAGTTGCAAAAACGTAGAATACTACAGTTAAGTCACTGCTGTGCCCGAGAATTAAGGAAGTGTTATGATGAAGAGATGAAAATGTCATACACAATTGCTAAAGAAAAGGGATGACAGTTTTCTTTCATTAGGCAACTGCAACATCAAGTATCTCAAGACATTAACAATCCATTTTTGTATGTATGTAAATACACACCATGTAAATATGCCGACTGCTAAATCAAGATTACAATTAGAAGTGCAATTTTACATGTGCAGTGAATAAAAACTGTATAGTTTACTGGTGAGAAGAAACTACAGCCATCTGCAAAATGAGGTTCCAACTTTATCCCATTCACAGCATTTCAGGACAAAAAAAAGGACATTTCAGGACATGGAATACCACCACCAAGCAGTTACAATCCTGTAGTGTTAGAAAATTACGTTCTGGTACATCAGTCCCTCTCAATGTGACACACCTGGCATCATCTTGCTCTTCAATCCCTAAAGCTATTCAATGCTAACTTGAAGCTGGGTGCTTGGCTTACATATGCAATTGTTGCAGTTGTGCAGTCACAGCTGACAAGTGCCAATGCAGAGCAATAGTTACCATCAGTCATGCATGGAATATTTGCTTTAAGATGTAGATAACTACATAAAAATAGTAGAAATCATTTTGCATTCATTTCCCAGTATGAGGCTTCAGGACATTTTAGATACCTATTTATTCCAGATTTGGCCAGAGAGTGCAGACAGGAGTACACAGCTCCACAAAATGAAGGCTACCTAAGCAGCCTCTACCAGATCCCATGAAAATTAATGATAAATGTATATGCAACTGGGCATCTTAAAATAAGAGTAAGGACAATAATTAGATTAAGGAATATATTGATTTGTACTATTATGTATCAGTTACAGTTTTCTTATATCTGGTGTTGTGCAAGGACACCAGACAATCTTACTTAGAAACTCTATGTTTCATGCATAACTTCTGAAGATACACAATGCCTCCAGAATAATTCACTTTCTGTGAATACTTCATGAAAACATTTGCTCTGGGGTCACTGTGTAAGGAACAACTTACAAAAGATCCAGGTAGGTTTAGAACATCCATCAATCTGGTCTGTAATCTGTCTACAGACCGCCTTTTTAGGAACCTCACAAGAAAAAACATCTTCAGATTTCTTTCTGCTGGGTATGAAAGAAGTATCTGGTTGACCAGATACATACTAAGGATTCCACTCATCAGTCATTTTAAGCTCGGCAAAAGCATAACCCTGACAATTCAGTGTTACTGGCTGGTCAGCTGTGTCAGAAATGGTGAGGAAAGACCTCAGAATTCTGTTAAGTTCCAAAAGATGAGCAGTTAATTTAGGAGTTTTGTTTAGGACTGATAGCAGGGGTCAGCCCAACTGCAGGCTACAGCTGTTGCCAACAGATCCTTAACTACAGTCCTCTGTTTGTTGGTCTCCTTGATCACACGTTTGTAAGGCATCTAGCAAAGCATGAGAGCGTTTTCTGAGACCTCTTTATAACCCTGCAGTGCAAACAACAGGGATGACTTTGCTCACAAATGATTTAAAGTTCCAAGTTGCCACAGATCACCAAGTGCATACTGAACACTGGAAGGAAAACGGACATTCTGCTGGCTTTCCCCTTCAGCTGGGAGCTGCCCGGGCCAGCCAAGTCCACTATGGTAGCTAACAGTGTGTGTAAAAGTGCCCTGCAACATTATTACAGATATACTCACAAGAGAGCAGTTCCAAGCTTCAATCCTCCCCCTTCAACCCTCCTCTGCATACAGCCTTTTTTTCAAAGGCCCAAACTTTTCTGAGGCTGTTTTGCAGCAGAACAAAGGGCTCTTGAAAGAGTCAATATCTTTTGTTTAAAGCAAGTTAGGAATTCAGCTTTTCTGATAACACATTTCAGTCATATCAAGATATTTACAACAGCCTCTTCAAAAATACTGCATAGCTCCAACTCCCTTCGGTTCGGGTTCTCTCAAATACATTCATCAAAGCCATGAAAACTAATTTTACAACATCATTTATAACCTTGTCTTTCTGAAAAGGTTCTCTTAAAGTGTTTCATGTAAAAGTTCTCTTTAGCTTCTACTGCCCAGAAAGCATCTTTTTTCTTGATCAGTTGTGCCCAATTTGTCAAACTGAACTCTCTGCCTCATTCTTTCCAGCTCATCTCCCATCTCCTCTGCCCTTTACAGGCATACTTGAATAGCTTTGTCACTTCCATCCTGAGCAGACAAGGCACTCACATTTTAAAATTCTGAAGACACCCCTCTCATTTCAGCTGAACCTTCTGGAGGTACTGCCAGAGTTGTGTTCCTAAGCTGAACACACCAGTAAGATTATTTTCCTCCTATCTTCTCATTAAACATCACATAAAATGTCACTTCTTTGCACTTGCAAAGCAGGAAACCCTTGAGACATAAGTGGAACAAATATAAAGGTCAACGAGCATGGCAGACAGGCTGCAGCCCAAACAGCTTTCCCAAGAAAACACAGGAATAATGAAGGAATGAAAGAAGTTGCTTTTAAAAGACCTACCTCAAACCATGACAGATGCTACTAAAACTTGTCACCGATGGTTTTTGGACCTAATCTAAGAATATACAGGATTCTACCTGCTCAAGAGCTGTCATCCACTTAAGTTCAACGTGTTACAACACATTGAGTGTATGTATTTTGCAGTAAAAGTATGCTTAGCACAAGATTACCTTAACCTTACTTTCAACATGTTACTAAGCATCTTAACTACTGAACCCAGCTAAACTGAAAAATGGGACGTTACCTTTTACCTTGTACCTCAGCAGTCAGGACGGTTACTCTGACCAGCATTTATGTGTATCAGGCTCAGGATAGGGTGGTTTGGATGGATTTTAAGATTAGGCTGGAAAGAAAAATAAATCATCCTCAAACAAGGCTTTCCTTATGCCGTGAACTAAGTTGACAGAGAATACTGTTTCCTCCCCCCACCCCCTAAAGCTGTGAGAACATGACAAAAGTAACAAAGGAAACATTAATTTGGGGGCTTTATTTAATTTTTCTTTTCTTTTTTTTTCCTTTTTTTTTTTTTAAGATGCTACATAGTCAAACAGGATTGGTCTTTTACGGCATAGGACTAGTTTACTACTAATAGTTTTTGTCCCCCTAGACTCACTTACATACAAAACCAGTTTCCTGACCACTGTTTCTCCAATGCTCAGATAATCAGAACTCCCAACAATGGTGTAGTGCCCAAAACACCAGGAGGCAGAAGAATCTCGCATCACTACAGCAGCGAATTTTTAGTTCTAGTCACTGGCTTTAAACAGGTGCCTTTTCATACCATATAGTATTAGTCAATTTTGTGACAATAAGGAAACATGAGATGAAATACATTAAATAAGTTAAATATGCATTAAACATCTCTGAATAACATTTTCATTCAACTAAATGAACCAACAGCAATGTAGCTTGGTCCCTTTATGAGAACAAGGCATTGACCTTTATTCCAAATGAGAGTCATACCAGTCAATATATGCCTCTTAATGATGCCTAGCACACTCAGCATTGCCACATACAATTCTTTTCAGTTTCTCAAGATTCAAGTGCCAAGAAATTGGTAACTTGCACAGAGTTGAAGACACTGACAGAAACTGTTAAATTTATGAGCAGAATGGTGGATTAACATATTTTACAGAAGTTTATCAACACCTCCTGCCTAACCCACCTCCAAACATCCAATAGGGCCAGCTCCGGCAGTGGAGGAAGAGTTTTTTCTATTTTTCCTTTTTTTTTTATTTTTTTTTAAATTTTTTTTTTAAAAAGAGGTCATCCAGCAACATATACCAGGGTCTAAGAATGTTTAAAATGACATATACAATATTCCATTGTAGTGTTAAATCGTGATTTTCTCCCCCCTTCATCACTGAAGCATAATCTCTTTCATTCATCCACTCACTGTACATTTGAAACTTTCTAGATTACGTTACATAGTATTTGTGCAGGGGTAATTTAAAGGCAAGACCTGTGAGATGTCATACATTAAGTTTTTTTTAAACATTGTTATGAATAAATTTAATCCAATGATATGGCAGAACCATCAAACCAATTTACAATTTCCAGCATGCTGCCTCTACAAGGCTATTTTTCCTATAATTACACCAAAGACAAAGAACAAAACCACCAAAGCAAGTAGTCTGGAGCTGAACCCTTCGTCCTTGACAGCAGCTGCAGAAGCAGATATTGGGTTGTTTGTCTGAGGTGCCTTCCTCATCCGCAGTCCATCTTCTTCCTGAAGGAAGAGATATTGATTATTTCTACTGAAAGACAGCTTTAAATATTCTCCCTTATCATATTTATTACAGGTGGCCATAATAAAACAGGTGAAAGCTAATTTAGAACTCTATTTTCCTCAATAATCCTGAGAAGGAAAGTGTAGTGAAAAGAATTCTGTATCTACTTGACTAGCAGAGAAAAATCCACATGCTCTTAGAATTTTTCTCCTGTTGACTAAGGTAACAGGGGAAGCAATGAGGAAGCCTTGTCCAAAATCTGCAGAGCTCCAGATCTTCAAAAGCAGTGATGGAGGGAATGACATGAAGGTGCTTTTCTTGCTCTGTAATCAAATACAGCACTGTTGGGGAAAAGGCTTTTCAGTATAACTAAAATTGATTGTGAAAAATACGCAACTTTAAGGCAATTATGTTCATCATTTGCCTAGTTAGATGTCACAAGCGAATTTTATCAGCATTTGAAGGGCAATCTATTTCCCCCATCATATTAATCCTGACATTTTGACATGAAACTAATGGCAGTAATTAGGATATATTCTTGGTATGAGTTTGACAGCTCTCTCAATTTAAAGATATGAGACAACAGATAAAACAACATCATAACACAAGATGTTGCGCAGCACAGCTGTGTGTTAGCACACTCCATTACACACACACAGAACATTTTAGGAGACAGCAAAATGAGACTTTTGTTACCAAACTTGTATACAGCCAAAGCACTAGCGTTAGACTTTACGTGGTACAGTATTATAGTGCAAAACCATAAGATACTGAAGCGAAAGCCTCAAGTCTATACATAAAAAAATAACTAATAAAAATATAATAAAAGTTATTGCAGCCTTAAAAATTGTCAGATAAGCGAAATTCTAAAGACTCTGAGTACGTCAGTGCTTCTCACTTTTGAATTTAAAGGGGCAAGAATACAAGAAGAAGGTCGTGTCTCAGCCATATACATTTTTAATTCTATGTGCAGAGCAAAACTGGTTTACAAAAGTCTAAAGAATTTCTTTATGCATCAGCCAAGCCAAGCAGCATCAACGCTGCCAGAACAGAGTTCCCTTCACTGAGCTCCAACAGGCACAAATTCCAAATTTTCACTGGTGCTGTTATCTGTGATCTAGGCATTTACAACAGATGAAACTGCTGTAAAAAGCGATTCTCAGCATGGTGTTAAAGGCTTCCCATTTACTTGATTTCAGGGCAATGTGTTGGATTTGATAGGAAGCATATTTCCTATTAATCTGTCTCACTTTGGTCATTTTAACTGTAATGTATTATAGATGTATTGTAGGTGCAATTACTAAAACAGTATTTGCACAACAGTGCCCTCAAGCTCCCATAAGTTTGAGAGAACAGGGCAAAATCCAACACTGAATGCCTGCTTCAGACTGAGGAAAACAGGTGGAAAAAGAAAACAGAAGAGAAGGAATTAAGTAGTTTGCTATCCAATCAGTTTCCCTGACTGCATGACTTGGATGCCCCTTTCAAAGAAGCATTTATTTCAACACTTTCAGCTTATAGAGGAAAAACCTACACTATCTTTTAATTTACATTAGAATATTAGAGTATCATGCCAAGGTCAGGGAACCAAACCTTTAAGTTGGAAGCTTCTTTTTCAGGAAAAGGGTAAATCTGGAAAAAAATAAAGAAGTATCTTTACCTTAAACTGTTTATTCTCCTCCCGTAACCTCTGAACTTCTACTTGAAGCCTCTTATAGTCTTCCATTATTTTCTTAACTTCAGTGTCATCCAAAGAACTTATTGATTTAGACATTACAGAGGAATCTGTCTTTGTTGCAGTTGTGGATACAATTTTATTTATTTCTATGTCATGCTGTTAAGAAAGGATAGAGTGATTTTTGGTTAGTTGTTAACATCACACCACACACCTGATATTTAGGAGAATCATGTAAAATTGTCTTTGTACACCTGACACGTGCCTGTATCAAAAGAAATGAACAACATTTTTCTTTCTGTAACCTTTACTTCCCATTTCTGTTTCAAAAAACACACCAGATCAGCAGCAGTAAGTGCAGACAGAATGAACTTGACTTTTCAGTCCCTGCATACATAGAAAAGGAAGTATCCTTAGTCCACGTCATACAATGTGAGTGGGAACTTACTTGCTCATGGTCTGCTTGTGGAGTATTAGTGCTCTCCTCACCTTTCCCCTCCCCAGGCACAAACAAAAGCAGCTCCTTCAGGAACCAGGGATTGCCAGGAGCTACCCTCCTGCTGTGCTGTGGTTGCCCCTCTGTTCTCTCCCTAGAGCTGGCTGTCACCTCTCCATCTTAATGACATTGTAACAATGGGAATTAAAAGCTGCCCAGTGCAAGGCGGAACAATTGTGCCTTCAGCACCTACCTACTAGGAAACATTTCTCAGTGTATTCAATCCGTTACCAGTTCTACATTTGACACTACATACTGCCATTAAAAATTAATGCGTTCATTAACCTAACAAAAAAGGATCCTGCAATATTATAGCTGCTAATTGCAACATAACCCCTAACTGCAGTTATGTGTTCCTTACTAGCTTTCTACCAATCTACTTGCTAAAATCAGTGCTGTACCAAGGAAGCAAAAGGGGGTGTTGGACAGGAAAATTAATATTGCTGACAGTTACACCTGCTTCAGGATGAACTCTCAGCTTTATGACCATCAATCACAATCTTTCAATTTTTAAAAGAATATTCTTTATCCTGCAATATTTCACTAAATGAAAACAGATCACCTCAGAGACTTCTTTGTGCTGGTGTTGTACGTGCATTGTTCAAATTAGCTGCTCCTTACATTAAGCTTCACTAAGATTTTTAAATAGTTTATATTGTGTTTTCAAAAGGTGATGCCATCCAGGCAGTGCAACAGAGGGTTCTGTCTTTTGCTTGTATAGCTGTCTGTATAAACATGCCATTTTACATGATTTATTGTGGTATTATGTTAAAACACTCAATATGCAGTTTGAAATACTCACTGGCTTATCATTTTCCGCTGGTAGCTCAAACACACACCTAAGTTTCGAATCCATGAGTTCTTCTGGTTTTGCTTCTTTCCACTAGAATAATTTATTATTAATTTAATATTAAACACTAGTATAAAGGCAGATGAAAAATGCAGTGTGACGTAAATATCATCTTACAAAAAGCCCACAGGTGTCTATCATGTTACCATTAAAAATGAAAAATTAAACCAAACATGTAACTGAGTGGTATCAAAGAAAGACCAGATACTATGAAGGAAACAGATTCTAAGTAGTCAGAAAAAACCCCACATGTAATGTATGAGAGAACTGGGAATTGTGTAAGAGTAATGAGCATAGATAGGGGGAGCTATGGTCCTGATTGGGGGGGGGGGGGGGGGGGGGGGAAAAAAAAAGGAGGGGTACATTAAAGGAAGGGAAAGGTAACAAAACCCTTAATCACTAAGTGTTAGTTCTGAAGTCTTTGTTCAGCAATTTCTGCTTTCCAAATTCCACATGAGGTTTTCTTCCTGACTGGTATGAACTAAAGGGCTGTTCTCCCTCCTTGTTTTCCACCTCATTTTTCAGGATCAATGTCTAAATAATAACAGATGTGCTACATATAAAAAGAGAGTTTCTCCTCTCATCCTTCTCTCCCCCCAATTATGGAGTCTACCATAAACAAGTTCCCTTTCAATATTTTTAATAGGGATTAACAGTTATAAATCTTTGCTCAATATCTGCTGTAACCCTGAACTGAAAAGACTGATTCATAGTAGTCATACACAGCAAGAAGCATCCACATTTACATCTTGGATATCTCACATGCTTCTCTTCACTTTGACCATACTTCTGGTAGCATGGTATTGCTCAGCATATCTCAAGTAGGTGTCAAATTATGGCTAACCCCTGTGGAACCTGAGCAAGTATTTGACTCATCCTAAATAGCAGAATCGTACTTCAGATCTTCTGTGGCTGAAGTCAGAGCTGTATTTCGAGCTCCTTGGCTGCCTGTGAAGTGTTGAAAGCTTTATAGTACTCCAGTAATTTGTCTCACCTGTTTATCCAGAATAGGAAGAGCCATGGAGAGCGGTAACAAAGCTAACAGCTGATAAAGTGGTACAGGCAAAGAAATCATACTGGTCTGTAGAGCTCTGGAAAACTGGAAGGGCCACCTAGGTCCTAAAAAATGTTCTTTGCTAGCAGAGGAACATTTTCTTGGTATAAAGTAACTCATAAAAATTAAAAGGTTTAGAAAGAAAGGCAATCTGGCTTATCTTTCTAGTGGTGCAGACATTTTATTACTATTGCTGTTTTTCCCACTGGATCTTATTTTGAGGCCATTAAACAAGTATAGCTCCATAAATCTCTTTCAGAAAGGAAATGCTTAACCCTGCAGAGGGCTGCAGCTTTAGAAAGCTATTCGAAAGATGATACATACTGTAAAGACTACTGTAAAAAAGCCATAGGTACTCTGAGGTTTTTGAGGTTGGCTTTTTAAAGTAATACACATACATACAAACACACATAAGACCCACACCTTAGAGTAATAGCCTTTTCTTTTTTATTGTGTCCTCACTAGCTACTGAGTATTCTCTCAAGCCAACAAAAGCCAAACTAGAGAAAGCCTTCTTGTGCCTTCTTGCAGTAGCAAATTTTGCTGTTATAGGAAAAGCCATCAATTGACATACCGATTTGTTCCTTTCCAAGTTGTCTTAATGTAGCCTGACACCTTATTTCTACATCTTTTGCCCTTCCTTGCTTCAGCACCTACATGCCTCTGTTACTCTCATTTGTAATCCACAGGACAAAATCTGTGAGGGCCTTCCATTTACCTAAGCCATAAGAAACATAGGTAGGGATAAAGAAAAAAGCAATACTTTAAAATCATCCTCCTGGAAAAAGGGGCTGCTCAAGGGAAGACTCAAGTCTGAGAGTAGAGGCATAAACATAAAAACATGCCACAGACTTAGAGTATATTCTACATATTCTTAGAATATACAGTTCAAGTTGTCCTTGCTAAAAAAATAATACCTTGGAAAAAATACAACTACTTAATATTTTTCTTTTCATGGCTTGGTATCTTATTACTGACAGCACTGTCTTAAAGAAGCAACTACAGATACCAGCTCTTTCAGTGCAAGATTCCTGGAGCTCAAAATAAACAGAAAACACCTTGCAAGGCAGAGATAGAAATCTGGCAAAGCTTTCAAGGATCCTTCCAGTGTGGACAGACAACAGCCCATAGGCAACACAATGAAAGGTCTTATAAAATTATACAATTGTAAAGAAATCCATTTTAATGCATTTCAATACTTACTACTGCTTCCATATCTGAAGTATCAGCTGGAGCAAACATAGACTGAACCATAAACTTGTGTTTACTTTTCTCATTAGGGTCATAGTCAAAAGGCTGTAGCATCACTGCAAGAAAAACCCAAAAATACATTATCTTAACATTGCTCTGATGCAGACATGCACTGGTGATACAGTTACCAGATTTGAGAAATACAAACATTCAAATGGTTTCAAATTGTATGTACATTATGACCAAAACAGCCACTGAGATTGGGAACCTCACTTTGAAATCAAATTTCAAGAGATAAGAGAAACAGACTTCAGACCATCTAGATTTTTGTCTGAGAATTTTGGAAGCGCTGATCATGCTACAGTATTTCATATACAAACTACAGCAAGATAATAATAGTAATTCATAGTAAATAGGGTAATTTACATATCTTCTGGGACAGAGGGAAATATCCTCCAAGAAAACATCTTTTTTCCTTCCTCCTTGGGGCAGAAGTAATAAGCTGGCATTTTAAATAGTTGTACACATTGTATTGCTGATGGTTCCTGAGAAAGACTACAGGGACAACCTCAAACATTTTAAACCTTGAGGCTCAAGTCTCAGGATGGAAATTTCCTCTACAGGGTTTAAGATTTAAGAGTCTCATGGTATTTGTTTTATCAAGTGCAAATATTTCTCTTCCAAAAATAAGTTGCTGAAAGTTTGTTACCAATTTAAAGATGGCAGTTTAGGGTTAAATGCTATATTAACTTAGCCTCTGAAAGGCATGCAAGAAATCTATTTCTCTCCATTTGAAAAATCACAAACATTCCAGCATTTGCTTATGGAGAAAATGACTGTGTTCAGGGGCAGAGAGGTTTAAGGGGTGTGCGTGCTTTTTTAAGATGTTATTTATATAGCACATAACATAGTATATAGTAAAGTATATCATATATTATTTATATAATGTTTGGAATTTCTATGTCTCATCTTTTTTGAGTAAAGAACTAACATGTTAAAGTAACCTGATGAGGCATAATTATGTATTTCATACACATACATTTCATTATTAGATACTGCAAAAAGCTACCACGCCCTCAAGTTTAAAATGAACTTGCATATACTGCAATTACTGCTAACATAAAAAATGGTGGCCGGGTTTAAAATTCACTTTTCACAACCCATGAGCTACTTCAGTCCCTCAATTCAATCGCTAAGAAGAGAAGCGGCTCAAGAATTAGGATTACTTTCATTGACATTATGTGCCCAAATTCACATGCACTAACTGCAGGGTTTGTCATATAAAAGCAATATCCAAAAGATCCCATTTACTGCTGATGAAGGCAAGTCAAACCAGTTCACTTCCTTCAATGAGTAGAATATGTTATGGACATGCCACCTTTATTATGCACACAATCTGTGGCTATCAACAACCTCGTGACTTTTAAAGCCCCACAAGATGGAAGGCAGCAAATTCTCTCAGATGAGGTCTTTTAAGAATTATTATATATTTTTAACTCACCTTTCAGTAATCAAACACTAGTCCAAAAAAAATGTTTGCTTATTAACAGGCTGCTTTTAAAACTGTTTTTCCAAACAGAAATGACTGCACTGTGAAAGCACAAACATTTCAAAACTGCACGATACCTCACTGAAAAGCAGCAGTGTAAGTTTTCCACCCCTGTAGTAGACACCTAACTTATTCCAAGCCCACATAATGTGTAAAATCCAACTGAGTAGTTAAAACTATCCACTGTTATGGAACTTCCCTAGGTCTGCAGTTAGATCAGTTTGCTCTGCAGTGTGCAACTAGAAACTCATTTGAAAATCCTTATTTCCCAAGTGGTAGTGCTGAAGCCATTCTCAAAAACCAGTGACTGCTCTAAATTCCATTCACTGAATCATAAGAGCAAGCGGCTAGAGAGGGCTTGACGGTACAAATGTTGTTAGTACTTGTATTTTTAGATCAATACATGAAAGTCACATTGACACAAATTATTCAGCGAATGTCTTATAAGCCAGATGGGAAGCTCAGAAATAAGTACTTTGTTCAAGAGGAAGCCAAACCATTTCAACATTTATTCACACACTGTTGGGGGTTTCGGTGAAAGATCAGCTCCATGTAACTGTCCTAATTGCTGAAGAATTGGCTACTGTGAATGTGGCTCTGTTGTTTTGACTGGAAATTGCATAACTTGCACAAGAACTGTGTGGGAAGTGTATGTTTCCTTTAAAATGCCTTACTCAAATCAGTCAACTCATCTCAAAAATTTCTGACCAGCTTTCATCAGAACCCAGAGTTCTAAGTAATAGAACGATTAACATGAACTTCAAATTTGCTAGCACCAGCATCCCTCAGGCAGGGGTGTGTATTTCAACCACTTTCTTAAACTCATCACCCTCCAGCTAAAGCACCAGAAGTATTCTACCACAAGCAAAGACTGTAAAGTCATTGAGACTCCAATGGAATGAGGAATAACACAGGTTATATTTGTTACCCCATTTGGCGTTGTCAAAATTCAAACACAGAGGACTGACGATATGTACATCCTGTGCTGAAGTGTTTCCAAAGAAATGGAGAGCAGTTTTCTTACACATTGCTGCTACACCCCTGGTATTTTACACAGGGCTTTGTAGATAGCAAAGGCAAGGCAGGGACCACCTAATATACTCTTTCCTTTTTCTAGGACAGTTACTGGCAATGTTAATAACAATGTCAAAAGCATTAAACTCTTCTGGCTTCCTAGAGCAAACCTGCTTTCTCAAGGAACAGTGGGAATCTGAAGCAAGGAACATGGAAGGAGACTAAACCCTATCCATAACGCCTGCTAGGATCTGGCACTCCCTTCCACAAGTAGAAGGAACAGAAAGGTCTCCCTGCTCAGATCATCAGCAACCTTCCTCTAGTTTCCATCTAAAATTATTAATGGCCTGTTTACTTGGTCCTAGACCAATACTGCCCTTCTGCTTAAATATCAAGGAAGGGGAAGAATCATGCACTTCTGGCACACTCCAAAACATCAATCACAGTAACTCTTGGCCTTCTGGTAAACGAAGCAAGCCAGACTCAGTGGGTCCTTTCCAGGCCAGGCTCCCCATTCATTCCCTGCACCTGTCCTGGCTTCAACTCCTCTGTATGAGCTGCTCCCATGAGACATTCAGGAAATCTTACTAGTGCCTTGGACAAGAGCATTCGTACTCTTCTCTCTTCCATTATCCAGCCTGTTTGCACATACTACATTTGCCTTATTCCCAGCCTCATTATGTCAGCATTCTGGTCACCCTGGCCAGCCCCTTCATTTAACAAGCTTGCAATTATAGCAGGAGGATTTTATTCTCCAAGTGCATGATTCTGCAGTTTCTCTGATGAAACTCATCCTCTGTTTCTCTTACTGTAGCCTTCAAGGACACCCAGTTCTCCAGCGTCTCCTCAGCCTCCCAACTTCACATCATGATCAGGGTTTTTAGTGCACTCTTTGTGCCAGAATTGCTTATAAAAGCATTAAGCAAGATTAGTACTAGGAATCATTCTCAAGAAATGTCACTAGTAACTTCCTGCTATTTCCATTCACCACATCACTGTTTACTTACTCTTAAGTAGTCCGTTCAATAGCCTATGAATCTGATTTCTTTTCTAGCTTTACTGGTGATTTTCCCAAATAGCACTGCCTGAAATTCTTTATGGTCTGGATAGACCAAATCTACCACATTCAGGTCACCTTTACATAAAATACCCCAACAAGCTACAGGAGCAAGCCTCAAGACCAACGGTGCAATTTGATCAGCTCTGCTAGAGGTGAGTGAAGGACACTCATCTCTACAGAAACAGGCAGAATCCAGGGCACCATTGCACATTTGTTCCATGTTTACATAGTTCCTTCTCTAAATATTTCAGTCATACAAAAATATGTCAAATCTGTGAATATCAAGATAAATTCTTCTAAAGCAAGCAGACAAAACCAAACCTTGGCAGGCACTACCTAGTCCTGGGAGGCCCAGGGGAACAGGGTGCAGCAGCAACATTACCCTGGGAGAGTTAGGGGCTGCAGCAGTGGATGGGACACGATTGGTGTCTTAGAGAAAGGAGCAGACCCGTTGTGACCAAAGAGAAGAGCCGCTGCAGAAGCACCCTCCTGAAGGCAACAAACTGCCTTTCCAAAACCAGGCAAGTTTACAAAACACTAAAAACTCCCCTCCAAGGATATCTGACAGCAACCTAAGGCTAATGTCAGCTTCTCCCCATTTTTTTTGGAAGCATGTTCACACTGTTGTCTTCAGTGGGACAGTGTGCACAGATGGTACCATCTGTACTTCCTCTCTCCTCCCGTTAAGCACCTATATCTGCAGACTCATCAGTATAGGCTTATAATTTTTCCACTTTTCCTCTGTAATCCATTCATGCCTTTTATTCAGAATTCAACCTCCTGGAAGCCACAAAATCAGATATCTCTGTGGAAATAAGACATGTTTAACAAAAATGTAATGTGTGCAAATACTCTTCAAAGTATTTCACAGTAAATGCAATGAAATCAGATGACAGCACATACATACACTTCCCAATAGTTACATAAACTCAGCTGTTAAAATTAAATGCCTTTACATAATAGGTGAAAACACGGGCTACAAACCTGACATTGCAGCAAGCAGTGCATGCTGACAGGGCCTTAAATCCTGACGGTTTGGAGAAGCTGCGTAAGAAGCCAGTATTTGAGACTCTACTAGAATAAAGCAAGCTTTTCTAGCATTCTGTATGTTTTTAATGAACCACCATACTAGTACAAAACAAAGTGGAATAACATTCCAACTCCTGCCTCTGTGTTAAGGCAGAATATTCTCTCATATACTTTCATCAAAATAGCACAGATACAGTTTTACAGGAGTGCAACAAACGTAACTGGTTACTACAATGCAAGGAAGATACGGCTGCCCCAAACTCAGCTTCAGCCAGTAACATTCTTGCTACCCTAACAAATTGTTCCAGAGCTTCATGCTATTATACTTAGGCACTGATTTTTCAAGAGACAAGGTGCGGTATCAACACAGTGCTACCAAGCAGCTCTGTTAGAAGCTAGTAGCAATTCTCAAGAGGACAGATTGCATACAGTATATACAGCCCAGCTAAAGTGTCTGAAGTTACAACTGAATTAACTATAATAATTTCTCACAGTAGTATTTACTAGGTTTACAAGTCCTATATTTACACCCTGTGCAAGACTGAATTACATGATTGAAAAATAATCGACTTAGAGGCAATGAAACGACTTCCACTTATTTTCCACTTAACTCCAAAATCAGCCCTCCGTTCTTAAGCAAGATTACTCCAAAGCAAAGGTTCAACACATCTCACCCCTTTCTGTGAATCTGGAAAAAATTCTGTTCTTTAAGTTGATTAAAGTCCCATCTTTGATCCCACCTATCCAAAAGATCTCTTCTGCTAATCAGAACCAAAGACACTACCACCTTCAAGTCCAAAATTAGGTCCAGAGCGTGGCTTAAAGGAGCTACCAGGAGTGCAAGGTATACAGCTCTTTGAAAGACAAATTCAACCACAGCACAAGATAAAAACAGCTTCAGTTTAGAATGTTTTAGTAAATTAAGAATTAACATTTATAATAACAGAAATCTGTAACACATCTACCTATAAATTTACCTTAATATAGTACCTAAAAAATAATGAATGTGTACTACCTGCATTTTAAAATATAATGTTAATATAAGGATTGGCAATTTAGGAGTGTTATTATATTACTTCTTTTCAGTATGAAAATATGTTGAACCCAAATCTGAACTTATGATTAAATATACCATAGCCATTGCAAAACTAACTGAATCATAAATCACTCTAAACAAAGTTATCAGAAAAGGGAAATTTTTCAAAGTTATGTCAGCAAGAGCAAAGCATAGCTTAGGGTTAGCACAGTTATCTCTCATAACAGGACACATTAAGTCAGGTCTTGGACTAGATCCATATTCTATCTGGTATGCAGCTGGGAAGAGCTGAGCTGGAAAAGCAAGTAAGATTCAGGCATGCTGGTAGCATAACAAAAGATGGTTCATACCACACTCTACTATACTATATTCTGCTCAAGGTAGAGTGAAGGGTCATTGCAAGCAGGAGTTTAAGAAAACACTCGATGTTGAGATCAAAAAAGCATGGTATGTGCCTGCAAAGGAAGTGAGCTTTTAATTTTGAAAATTCATTTGAAAGATTAAAAGAATCCACATCTTTATAGCACGAAGATAATTTGTAGCTAGGAACCATGCTAATTTTCATTATCACTTCATTGATTTCTGCACATTTAATATGCTTGCCTGCAGCTAGCAGAGATGACAGACAGCTTTAGTGGGGAGTTGTCCTGAGTTTTAAAGATCAAAATTTCTCTCTGGAGAGCTTTCTCATTTACATACTAGGCATTTCAGAGCTTACTGGGTACATGCTAGCCTTCTCCTGAAGCAGAAACGCTTTGCCTGCCCCACCTGTAGCTACCACACTGCACTGGTTATCTCCTCACCGTGACATTCCCCAGAGATTATCTGCAAGCAGAGCACAATTCTGCAATCATATGCACATTCAACCGACACAGCAGAAATCCCAAAGACAACAGATCAATAAGTGAGCCAATGCAGGTATGCACAAGAAGACTTACATTAGGATTAGAGACTCTTACTGTTACAGTGCAAAGTATATTTGGGATCATTTTTTATTTTGTTGAAGCAAGCTTTCCAAGGGTGAAGTGTTCAAATATTTTACATTTTAAGTAAAAAACTACAGTCTTGATTTTTACATTTTCATTATTTTTCAAGCAGTAGTTTTAGCTCCCCATTTTTTTTATTCCAGGCTAGAAAAGGTTGGTAAGAGACTAGCAGCAAACTGTAAAACCTATCTGTAAGTAATTTTTCTTACCGTGAGAATATTAACATTTAGTAAACAGTAAAACAAATCTGAATGTATTTTACAGAAATCATTTTCTTAACTAAGAAGAGTCCAGCTTCATTCATGCAGCATGCCACTACTGCATGCTTTGATAGAAGTTCTTTTTTTAATCGATAACATGGACTGGAGAAGTCATTGAGAAAATATTCTTTTGGGGCATTTATCATCAGCAAGTTAATAATATACAGACATTCTGTCTATGAGAAATACTCAGCTCTTTATGCTTTGAAAGTAAGCCACTCCTAGCTTTTTCATTACCAAAACTTAGGTAAGTCAAGAGCTACTGACTCAGAGAAAAACATTAGGTTTTCCTATGGAACCACAAAGATTTAGTCACTTGACATTTTTAACACCAAAGCACACTGCATCTTCAAGGAACACAACACAAGCGTGGTTTGAAAGGAAATGTTTTCATTATTGGTTACATTAGGCAGCTCAACAACAGCCAACATCAGTCTTGACTGGTGTGTCTGCAGCCCACTCGATTTGATCCTTCCTTTGACATACCCATCCAAGCACTTGTTTTGACCCTGCAGGGAGCTGGTTCAGAAAGATAAACTGGCAACAAACTAACTGTGCAAAAATAATCCCACAGGGAGGGCAGGGCTGCAGCAGTACTGGTCTGGAGAGGCTGGCTAAGGCTGTTAATGAACTACAGAAGTAATTTATGTATTTCTCCCTTTTTTTCCCCTCCAAAACAAGATATAAAACCAAGGCTATTACTGCTAGACTAGGAATAAAGGAAGCAAGGATATACGAAATGGCTGCTTCTACATGGAATCACAACCTGTTGCTTTTACAAGCATTCAATAATACTTTCAAATGGCAAAGCATTCTAAGAAATAACTGATTAGAAGAAGCTATTTTTGATCACCAAAAATCTGCTTGAATGACTTACCAGAAACATTAATTGATGTTCCTGCATCAATAATTCCACTGTTAGGCCTTACACAGTATCTACGTGGTGCTGTGGTCTTAACTTTGAAGCACACATTTCTGTCTGTAGGATTGCCGAGTTTCAGGTTTGTAGTGACAACATCTGTGAAAGGACCTGAGGAGAACAAAAGCAGACGTGAAATCACACAGAAGGGACTTCTCAAGCAGAGGCTAAACAGGCTCTAAGTCTCAGTTCACAAATCTTATAAAGTAATTAGATGTCCAATTTCCATCTATGGCACATACAGGTAATCATGCACGCAAAGCTGCAGGTGCAGCAAGGCCTCTGAGCATTCTCACACACAGCATGTCCAACACAACTGCTCAGGCTGATCATTAACAGAAAAACAAAAAGGGAAAAATCATTTATACATTGTTCCAGCACAGCATTCCAACAATGCCAAATTCTCTGCTGCATCACAGTTACCCTGTTCTAACTACTGAATATCAGTAAAACCAGGCTTACAGAGATACCATATATGTTACAGGTGATAAATAGGGGAGTACACCAGTGTACATGAGCTAAAAAGGGAATGGTGACAAAATTCATCTGCATATGCAAGCTGTGCCTCCACACAAGCAGGATTTCACCAGGTATTCAGAAATGCCACACCAAAACCAGCCACATCAGCATTCAGGGGGCACCCTCTTTGCCTACCAAATCTTTGGTTTTAATTTTTAAATAAAACCTTCATAAAATATCCCACCTGACCCAAGGCAGGAAATGACCATGTGGAAATTGGAAAATTCTTGGATGCTGAGAGCACTGGCAAAGATTTCCATGTTAGAAAAGCCAGAACCAAACCATTATCAAGTTCTGGGATACCAAGCGCAGGCAAATCAGTTTCTCACAGCCTCACTACCTAGTCGAAACTGCCAAAATCCCTCAGGTTAGAGGCAAGGTGAGTTTACTGATTCACTGTAAGACCCTGATAGATCAGACAGGTAACACACAACAACAGTGCATGCTCAGATGGTAGAAAAATAAAACACCTAAGCACATTTTGATCAACTGTCTTCTGCATAAAAGTAACTAATTTGATGCTTGAATAAAATATCTTCATCTATCCTCAGAAGTAAAAAAGCAAATTGATCAAAAAAAGTATTGAACCTTTCCTTGCAGAAATGATAGCCCTAAAATTCCAAAAGGGTGAATGATGATGATGATAGAACACTAGCAGGCAGCATTCCACCATCCTTCTCCTGCAGCATGGTTGGCTTAAAATAATTTAAGTTCACTTCCTTTTCTACAAACTTATCACACAAACTTATCTCCTAAGATAATATTTAATACAGCTGTAGAAGTACTGCAGTCTTGCAACCTTTATCCTTCATCTAATTTAAATAATTGGAAGGGCAAAAAACCCAAAACAATCACACACACACACAAAAACCCAACCAGACAACAACGGAACATCATTTCTGCCTGAGCTCCAACCAAGCCTAGCTTTGCATTTACACTGCAATTTGGTAGCAAAAAAAAACTGAAGCAATAAATTTTTCATATCCTATGACAAAGATTTCACTAAACCTGTGCCTGGTGAAACACTGGGAGCAAAAGAGAATGAAACAGGTGTTGAGCTTTCTCTGTGTTCTGCATGCAGAGACTTCTGAGTCTAATGGAAAACACTGGGCAGAATAGCCATGAGCCATTAGAGAACTTGAACAAGCCAAACCAGCAGAAAAACCCAGCAAACATTCAGGTGTGTTAAACGCAGTGGCAGATCTTCAAGATAGCTCTAATGGAAGAACATTTCAGAAGAAATTACTCAATGCCTAAACACAAAGGAGGTGCCTTTACTAAAAAAATCACAGCTTGAGCTATTCCAGCACAGAGGGAGAGTGGTCTCTACAAAGCCCAACATACGCAGCTGCATCCTCAGTAGTACTTTACTAGTCTGCATGCTGGGATAGATTTCCTGTGGGAAATACCATGTTTGTACTTGGCTGATCCATGAACGCATGCCGGATTTGTGTGCCCCAGCATAGAGCTGCTGTTTGTAATGGTAAAACAACAATTCTGTGTGTAAAATGATTTCCGAATGGAGTTACTTAGCGCTAACACAGATCATATCAAAATACTTGGCAACAAAACGTTTTAGCAGATCAAATTCATTTCTTCTTGTCTGATTGACGTTTTCTGTCCACTAAACTTTAAACAGTTTAAGTTCCATTTTCCCCAAATTACAGAATTTACAGATGAGCCAGCACAACTCTACTAGAAGGCTGATGTCCACTTTCAGCAAACTTGTGCGCAGGCATGTGCCTTAGGGCACTGCTGTTCAAATACTGTAGCAAAGCAAAACACAGCAGCCAAATACAGGATTAAAGTGCCATTTTAGGTGTTCTGAAGTGTGTAAAAAAAGAAATAGACAACAGAGCATTACTCAGGGTAATTAGGGCATGGCAGTGAAATATTATCAGGTTGGCTGGCCTGTCTTTTCAAGAGTGAGGCCCGCAGACTGCCAACTCAGGTTGAAATGAAACCCTGATAGCCTGCTGTTAGACTACTATAACCTAGATCTGACATTTTCTGGGGAGGCTGGAGTATGTGGGCGAACTGATCCCAGTATAAATAAAAGCTAATTCTGCACTGGAGTTACACGCTTGCTCTCTACATCTGGATTTGAGCACTGCAGGTAAGGTTGGGTTGGGTATTTACAGTTGTATGAGACACGTATCTACCCTGAAGCTTCATTTTTCAATGCAAGGCATTAGGACTTGTGGAATCATACCCACAGGTTCAGTAAGGTTCAGTAAGGTAAAATGCTCTACACTTCTTTCCATCGCCTTTGTCCTCACTGCAAGTGGAAGGACTATGTATACAAGTATACACACCACCTGGACAACGCCTGTACTCCCAAGGTGGGCTGTAAGCACACATACAGTCACTCAGACTGGTGCATCTGGGTGGTACTTGGACAAAAGCAGCAAGAAAGCCAACAGTATCCTGGCCTGCAACAAAAGGAGCATGACCAGCAGGTTGAAGGAGGTGATCCTGCCCCTCTACTCCGCTCTTGTGAGACCTCACTTGGAGTATTGTGTGCAGTTCTGGTGTCCTCAACATAAAAAGGACATGGAACTGTTGGAACAAGTCCAGAGGAGGGCCACAAGGATGATCAGGTGACTGGAGCACCTGAAGACAGGCTGAGGAAGTTGGGGCTGTTCAGCCTGGAGAAGAGAAGCTGCGTGGAGACCTCATAGCAGCCTTCCAGTATCTGAAGGGGGCCTATAGGGATGCTGTGGATGGACTCTTCATTAGGGACTGTAGTGACAGGACAAGGGGCAACGGGTTCAAACTTAAACAGGGGAAGTTTAGATTGGATATAAGGAAGAAGTTCTTTACTGTAAGGGTGGTGAGGCACTGGAATGGGTTGCCCAGGGAAGTTGTGAATGCTCCATCCCTGGTGGTGGTCAAGGCCAGGCTGGACAGAGCCTTGGGTGACATGGTTTAGTGTGAGGTGTCCCTGCCCATGGCAGAGGGACTGGAACTGGATGATCTTAAGGTCCTTTCCAACCCTAACTATTCTATGATTCTGTGATTCTAAGTTGACTCTGCAGTGGAGACTGACTCTTACTGTGTACCTGAACAGAAACTGCACTCAAACACATTTATTTCATAATACACAAAATACTGTAATTTTGATTGCTCTTAATATTTCTAGATAAGTGAAACATATTAAAACAGGATGCTTTCAAGTGACAATTCACACACACACACAAAAAAGGAACTATTTTTCTCCTTTGTGTTTAAAAGATCATGAGAAAAATGCCACTGGTGTCATTCCAAGGACAAAGTTATGGGAACCTCAGATTGTGTACATGCATCATCTGACATGGGGTTGTCATGGGAGCAAGCTGTCCAGAAGGAAGAATGTAGTAAATTGAATTTGGCGGTGAAAGTCTGGAATGTTCCACAAGGGCTTGATGACTTTTTCTTGCCAGTTAGAATAAAGTTAGCTTGTGTTAATGCAAACTGGACATCCAGTGATACACAAACTAGCAGCACTACTTGAAGGTAAGGAAACATCAGCCGGCCTAGTTTCAAACCACAGCTGTGGCTTTCCACCCAGGCACACAGCCCTTCACATTTGAAGATCCCAGCATTATCGCAAAATTTGCCACGCTCCATTTCCTATTCAAACACCAGTGCTGTATCAATCTCCTAAGAGTGTCATTCTGCAGTGTACTGCATTAGAATATCCTGGATCATTTTAGTAATACAAAAGCCTGGGAATTAGGTCACACGAACATGATGGCAACTCTATTTAAATTTTATATAACTCTCACTGCAATAAAAATTGCCTGTAATTGTACCAGCAAATCCAGGCAAATAACTTTGATCAGCACAGTACTTGCTATAAGTTTCCTGCCACTCACTACTCACAGAAATCATATGACACACCTATATCACAACTGAATCTTAATATGATTTCTCACCTGAACCAAAATTCTGCATTTTAGCTTGGCAAATAAACAATCCTCATACACATGTGCAGCAAGAATGCTGTTGTAGCTCTCTTCAGCATGACAAAGAAGTTAGTGCAAGTATCAGCGGAGGTAAAGCTTCGACAGAAAAGGCTTGGGCAGGGGCATTCAAACCAAAGACGCACAGTCCTCTGCAGATCTGTACATGCAAATATGACTACAAGTTTATAATTAACTACACACATTAGGTGGGACACAGTCCCAGGGTTGCTTTATTCTGCCCTAGTCCTTCTTGCTGCTGAAAGGGGAGGTGATCTGACTTCTCATTTCCACCAACTGCTTGAGCTAGCTGCAGTGTTCATCTGCGTGCACTGAGCTGAGCCAGGGAGCTGTTTGGGCTGAAAATAAATCCACTTACAAGATGGGGAGCGGGCAGCGGGGAAGAGAAAAAGGAGAATCAGTTTTCAGCCAGACCAAGCAGCACTCAAGACACTGGCATCAGGAAAACTGCATCTTTCTGCACAGCATTCTGTCAACGTAAGGCAACAAGGTCTCATACTTAGTAGGTTAAAGCTAGCACTGCAATCACACGAGTAGTGTTGGCACAGTTGTTAAAAAATAATGAAGGCACATGCCCATTTTTTTCCTGCTTAAATCTAATGCAAATTCTCATCTGTTTAAAGTCAA